GATAATCCATGTTGTTTTAGGCCCATTACCTCGACCAAGGGCTGGCTATTTCCATGACAACGAGTTACTGTATCTCAAAATCGGTCCAGGCTCTAAGCTAATGGGTTATTATTATATGACTGATAATGTTGAGTCATTTTCTGTGCCTTGGGCTGATCTCCTTGGTAAGCAATCAGATTGTTGATTCTGCCAGCGTCCCCCACCCCACATAATTCCCACTCTTCCCACAAGTCCCACAAAGCCCAACTTCTACAGTCACAAATCAGGAGCTCTGAGTTGGACTGGATACATTATCACAAGCTATTTGATTTCTCTGGCCAAAGCAGAATTGTGTTACAGCCTAAATCCGATCATCCTCAAGTAGGACATTTATGGCTATGGTTAAAATGTCCTGAGATAACCTATGATTCCAAAAACCTTAAAGAAAAATGGATAAACAACTGTAACCCTTTTTTAAAGTAGCACAACAAAGACTGGCTGAAACGGATCCAGTCTTGGTGAGCCCAAATAATTTTTCCTGAAACTTTGGGTTAAATGTTTGTCTTATTTCGAAATACATGGACAAAAGGTACTGGGCCACCTACATCTTACACCTACAGGAGCTGCTTAGACTTGGAAACCCATGCCATGAAGCTCCCAGTACACAGTTTTTGTGCTGATGCTAATCCCAGAGGTGGTTTGGAAGTCTGCAGTTATTGAATCAGAGGAGTGTTGGCGACTTTTACATACTATGTACCTCAGCACTCGACAACTCCACTCTATAACTTTATGGGTCACTTTGTGGCTGACTTGTTGCTTTCACCTATCAGCTGGATGCAGAATACTTAGGAGGGAAACTCACACAAGCTGACTTATCGCCAATGGTGGGATCCTGCTATAGCAACAACTAGACTTCAGCTCTTTAGAACGACCCGTTTTTGTCATTTTTGTAAAGGCAGCCTGCTTGGCTATTAGCTTGATTTTATACTTGGTAATGATACTAAAACACCTGAATTTAAGGATTAAGAGCCCATGTGGCCCATTTTTTTTTCCTTATAGTGTATGTGCACATCTATACGCAAGGTATGTATAATAACATTCAAATGCTTGAACAATACTCTCAAACCCTGTAAACAGTTTTTATTGCTTGCTTTCTTCCTTATAGTCTGTTTTCCATTTTTGCCCCCAGATGTGTTCCTGCATCATTACCCAGCACAATACACCACTTTCAGATTATACCAAATGTACTTTATAATGTTTCAGATGCCATTTTTTTTTACCCACTGCAGCAGCGATATCCCATTAAATTGCAAGAGCAGACATGATGAACTGTAATGGTGGCTGTGGTGCTAAAGCATGGCATCTTTCATTTTTTATCTCCAAGTTTCTTCCAGCTAGGGTAAATTTATATTGTTGCTTTCATTCATGGCCAACAAGTATCATAATATCATCTTTAGATTTATCTCTGAGACCTGCTTTTGGTCATTTTAGAACTGACTTTCAAAGTCATGTGTGAATTTTTTTTCTCTGAAAAAACAAGGAAAAGAAAAAAGTGTAAGGATGTAGGACAGTGCAGCAAAGAGAAGACGAGGGAATAGAAAATGCAGAAGAGCGTGAACATGCGGTCACATTTGTCACAGCTTTGTATTGTTAGTATGGTAAACCACTGTACATAGGAGCCATATGTTTCATTTCCATTGTACGTTTTTGGTATTTTTTGTTGTGTTTTGTTTGTGTGTGTGTGTGTGTGTGTGTGTGTGTGTGTGTGTGTGTGTGTGTGTGTGTGTGTGTGTGTGTGAGTGTGTTTGTGTGTGTGTGTTGTATGTTGGAATAAAACTACTTTCACCTCACATGACGTGGAAATCGGAAACTATGTCGGGCAAGACCTTTAGGAAATGAACAATACCCTTCTTGAGTCTACTTATACTCTGAAAATGTTTCTAGATATCAGCATAGCTTACACAGTATGAAAGACATTTCTATTGGGTGTTACTGGCTTACAGTATTCATCTACGCAGAATTCAGACAAAAGTTTGGGGAAAGCTGCAGCCTTCTGCTGGATAATCTGTCACTGTGGTAAGTGTATGAGTTGATTTGGCACTAAAAGCTTCAATGGTGAAAACTACTTTGAAACATTTGCTGCTATCATTTGTTGCCAATTTGTATTCACTTGATAGCGCTTAAATGAAAAAAAAAATCAGCTTTTTGAACTTGCAGTTGGATACATTTTTTTAAATTAATTAATTAAATTTTTATTTTTTGCTAAATATTGTGCGGAGTGTTTTGAGAGCGGAGTTAAGTAGCGATGGGTGGCTCTGAGAAACGAAGGATACTTCACAGTTGGGGAGATTTTTTGTGAATCACATGGTAGGCAAGCCCTAAAGCATACCCTGCTTTCTAATGCTTTTTGGCTCTAATAGAGACCATAAATTACAAAATTCAAATATTATTTTTATTTAATAAGACTTTTAACACTGAAATCATAACTTTTTTTTGGAATTTTTTTTTTTTTACTAAGGTCATAGATAACAAGTTCTAAGTGATTTTTTTCGCTTAAACTTTGAACTCTTTTTTTTGCCAAAGAAGTCGCCCCCTTGTGGCCTTTTTAAAGAATGCGATGAAACATCAATGCTTTCTTTAGGAGGTTATTGTATTAGTTTTCAGACAGTGCACCACGAGCCAAATAGAGGTCAAAGCTTCAGAATTGTCTTTACACTTTAAAGATGTTCAGAAGCCCTCTTTAAAAATGTAAAAGATAATATGACGCGGCATGATACTAACATATATGGCAAGGACAGCAGTTACAGTATGAGCAACTATATGAATGGTTAAAATTCTTTAAGTGCCTGATGAACAGCAGTATTATTACAGTTTTAATCAATCACTTTGATGCAGTTCTCACATCAGAAATGTCTTTATCACTACTCTTAATGCACTGCAGTTCTCAGATCAGTAACACATTTCCCCACACACATTGGCCTTTTCTCTCTGTTTTTATGCACACTGCTATAGTTTCCATGCATACGTCACTGCTAAAGAGAGATGCTTTTGTCAGCCACAACTCTAGATCTGACACTTTCCTGAATATTCTACAGCTTGGCATTGACATTTTCAATTAAATTACTTTTGTCTCCTTTTGAAATATGTAAAAGAACAAGAACATTGTCACATATATAATGTGTTATACACACACACACACACACACACACACACATATTATATGTATATATATATATATAAGTGTTTATTGTGCTATGGTGGGTGTGTGTATACACACACACACACATACACACACACACACACACATACATATATATATATATATATATATATATATATAAATAAAATTATGAAGCAAAGGAAAAATTGATAAATAACTCTAAATATGTCAATAGCCACCCTTTGCTTAGACAGCGCTGCAAACCCTTGGCCTTCTGTCAATGAGCTTCATGATGTAGACACCACCAGCAATGGTTTTCACCTCACAGGTGTGCCATATCGGGGTTGATTTATGGAACATGAGGACGGCCCCAGGAAAGGAAGACCGAGAGTCACCTCTGCTGCTGAGGAGAAATTCATCCAAATCACCAGATTCAGAAATCACAAGTTAACAGCGCGACAGGTTAGAGCACCGATAAATGGCACACAGATTTCCAGTAGCAGACACATCTCTACATCAACTTTTCTCAGTCCTGTGTTGCAATTCTCACAGCAGTAAAGCTTTTCTCTTAATGCAGTTCTCAAAACAGTTAAAGCATTTTTCATAGCATAGAGTCTACTGAGCTAAAGGCACTACAACAATCAAAACTCTTCCATGTTTGTCAAAACATATTAAAACAAATTCAGAAACAAAAAATTTAAATTGAAGTATTTTTAATAATAAAAAAAAAAAATTTACAAAATTGCTGAAATGGAGAAACAAAATGATACTCATGAAACTATATGCATCAGAAAACAGACAAAGAATACATACACCATCTATAAACAAAGTACCAACTACTGTATAGTCCCGTAAAGTCACACTACATACATACAGCAACCACTTTATTATGTACGCCTGTTCCACTGCTCATTACATTAATCCAAATATCGAATCATCCTTTCACATCAGAAGCAACTCAAAACATTTAGGCATGTAGACATGATCAAGACAGCCTGCTGAAATTCAAACCGAGCAATTAATTAAGAAAGACGACTGAACAGGACACGGTTGTTGTATGATGTGAATAATTCAGATGTTGTTGATGTATTAGGATTTTCCCACACAACCATCTCCAGGGTTTACAGAGAATGGTCTAAAATGAGAGTGAGCAGCAGTTCTCTGGGTGAAAATAACTTTTTTAATTTCAGAAGAGAATGGCCAGACTACTTCAAGCTGATGGGAAAGCAACAGTAACTCAAATAACCCCTGGTTACAAACAAGGTTCAAGGTACAAACAGGCACAACACATCTGATCTTGAAGCAGATGGGCTACAGCAGCAGAAGACCACACTGGTCTTTGAAATTTTTATTAAAAACACTAAAAGCAATGCTGGGAATTATTCAGGAAAGCAAGCAAGAGCTGTGACTGACAAAAGTACAAACTTTTTGGATGAGTTGTCTGATTTAAGTGAGAAGTGCATAAACACAGCAACAAATATCTATAGTTGTAAATTATGTGTAGAAACCACAGCTGTGTAAAAGCGTAAAGAATGTCTAGCGTGGGTGAGGCAATGCATTACTGATTTGAGAACTGCATTTGCAGTGGTAAGATCGATATTTGTGATATGAGAATTGCGCCAAAGCGATCGAGAGGGAAAAACCCTGTTAATTAACCTGTTGGAGGCTTTGAGCGAGGTATGAACCTGCCTGCCTGTCTGTATTGTGCAATCGTTGACCCTGCTGGCTGTAAAGCGTGCTCTCAGAGTGCGCAAATCCTACAGCCGGCTGTTTTCTGTGCTCGTGAGATCCACTTTAAAATCACGTTTATTTAACCCTCCCCACCGTGAACCACGAGTCACTAATCATGCACAGACGTGCACTAGCGTGCTTTTTAGTCCATATTTCTTGGCGGATTACAGCTGCACGCCGCCCCACCCCTTAACAAACAACATCATCACTACCACTGTACCTAAATCAGGAAGCACCGACACGTTTTTCTTTTTTTCCCCTTTTTTGTTTTCTTTCCTTTTTTCGTAACGGAGACACTTTGGTGATTACAGCAACTGCGAACCATAAAGGGGAAGAAGGCGTTATCTTCGATGCTGCTGACGACCACCGGTGACCACTACTAAAAGAAGACTGACACTTTGTTTCATCCAGTACAAGGCACAGCTGTGGATGCATTTGACACAGTCTAACCGGAGAAGGGTATGTGCACAGTCAAGGTGGTAAAATTCACAGGAAAACAAACACACACACGTGTAAAAGAAAGCAAGTGTAAAGACAGTGGCATACACGCGGGGGATACGACACTATTTGCATTTTATGTGGACTGCAGCTCGTGTGGTTTAGCGATAGTAAACATGTTTCACACGTCGACGCCTTTACGGCGCGTAACAAAAGCTGAAGCGAAAATATGCTCAGAATGTAGTTCCTGAGTAACTTTAGAAGACAGCGACAGAGTGAGAGCCGTGTTACCATCCCTGTCACCACACTGTGACACTGCGTTTGTCATGTGCTTCGGTGGTGTCGCCCCACCACCAGCACTACTACAACAACACCCCCGTCCATCCATCCTCGCGGCTGTCCGTCCTCGCGCTCCGAACACAGTTAGCATACCGTGCGATTTGACTCTTCTTAGCTTAACCGCAACATGACAAAGCGTTTCGTGTGAGAGCAACGCCTTGTTCACAGTCAGCACTTAAGTACCTTTAATTCGGCGTGTACCCAACTCGACAAGCTGGAATTTAATGTGGTAAATTTAAGGGTTTATTATTTGCTTCCTAATGCTTGCCACCGGAAGCCCCACTTTGTTGTTGGTAGCAGTCGTCCACTGGGCTAGCAGAGAAAGGAACTATTCTAAACAGCGTTAATATCACTTTCGGTAGATGGCTTAGATGTTTTCCGAATTTATCTGTGGTTTAAATCGACTCGTTATGTCACGTTTCCCTCGACACGAACACACGCACCGAAGTGCGGCGCCTTTAAATGGCGAGAATACGAATGAGGATTTGCGCCCAAACTTCAGTGTGGATCACTCCGGTTACATGTTATTTACTGAGCACCTTAATGCATGGTGTAAAGCTGCTGAGTGTACCTTTCACAGTTGCAGCAGTCAGCATTGGTACAACTGTTTGTTTTTAATGCTAGACAAGTCTTTAAATTGGACATTCTTTGTAGGTGTTTATCATGGGTTAGGCTTTAATTATGGTGGTGTTTTGACTAGGCTGCTGCCTTTCAGCACATTCAACCATGTAAAGCAGGAGGAAATGGAAGTATTACATCACTGCATCCCAAGCAAAGGCTATTCTACAACAAGCTCACCTCCTTTCCTCACTTTACATGAAACAGGCTGGTGACAGAAACCATAAGCCTCTCTGTGACTATGATGAACACATAGAATTTTTATCCACACACTGTTAGTGGAAGGAGCAGCAGCTTGTGCAGCTCAAGACCCAACGATAAGCTTTCCAGCTATGTGTGTATTTTTACTCTTTGCCAGTTAGTTATATACAAAAAGGGACATTGAAGCTCAAAGCTGTTATGCCATGCTCACTTATTGCTGCTTTCCTCAAGCTCTAAATAAAGCACTTACACATGAGTGGGCGCCTGTGCCTGAACTACAGTGATTTATTAAAGCCTGCTGACCCTCTAGCAAGGGAACATTGTGCAAGATAACCCCTGGCTTTGTTTGATAGAAATCCCATGTGGGTTTAATCCTCACCTTTTTCTATTTTGCTTCAGATGATGAAAAAAAGTTATTAATAGTTATCGTAACATAACACCATTGCACTTCAGTTTCAGTTCTGGTACAGATTGAAACGTGGATATTTTTAGTATCGCTGACTACACAGACATAGCTTTTACCAGCGGCTCCAGGTTAACCTTCGCAAAGTTTCTGGAGCCAACTGTAGTTTCTGTGGAAGTACCTGAGTTGCGAAGGCCACAGGAATGCATTTGTCTAGGCCAGGAGAAAAAAATACCAGGAAGGTTTGCTCACATGTCCCGGCTGGCATTCCTTTGCCTTTATGAACATGCTGTACTTGCACCAGCAAGCCCCCCCCCCCCTTCCCGTGAGTATCATGCAATCAGTTGTGCAAACATTCAGAATTTTTTTCCTCCTCAGCCAACATTTTCGACCCCATTTCTGCACGTGCACTGCATCCACTTGCTACATCTGTGTTTTACAGGTGATACATTGAGGTTTGTCAACTTCCGTGCTCAGAGATTCACAAACTTCCTCTCGTTTCTCACTTCCCCCTTCCTGTCTGTGCCTGCTCTGGCAAACAGGTTGAGTCACATTACCTTCACCTCCTGCACAGCAGTACGCTCATTTTGTTAGTTTTGCCCTAGGTGGGGTGTTGGCAGTGTTGCTCTATGATATTCTTGAAAGCATATGTTGTCATTGAAAGTAGCGTCACAGCCTTGAAAGTGTTGCTTAAACGTTATCCCTCTAGGCCAAGGATGGGCAATTCATTTTCTTTCTTTTTTTTTTTTTTTTTTCTACCTTTTATTGTTTATTTTATTTATTTTCTAAAGAAATGAAAAACTGGGACAGTTGTGGAGGACTGCAACAGTGAGCTGAACTCAGTTCTGCTCAATATTAATTTTATGTCTTTGTAAGAGTAAATGTTATAGTTTTGTCCTAAATATAGCCCCTTAGGGAAAATGAATAATTGCCCATCTCTGCTTTAGAGTCATATTATAGATGGCAAATGCAAGCAAGTTGCTTGGGTCATACATCTTCATTGTGGAGTTCTAAGCTAGTGTTCAGGCTGCAGGTTATGTCAGTAAGGCCCCTCTGGGAGTGATGGAAAGTTCCTGTGCAAAACATCTCAAAACAAACATTTGTTTGAATTAACAAAGCAAATTGCTGTGCTTAGTATTGGACCACTGGGAGTATGGAAAACAATACTCCCAGTGGTCCAATACTAAACTGATGTCTGGTATTCCCATTGAGCCATATATAACATTTTTCTTTTCTTTTTAAAAAGACAGGAAGATCCCACAGCTGTCTTCTCAGACATTTCTATGCAATAGCAGCTCTGTATTTATACAGAGTATATTTGTAGTCTATGTTGTCATGGCCCTCCTTCGAAACAACATCAGAGCATCTTTGCTGCTAAAGTGCCACAGTTTGATATTTTAGTCAAAGAAAGGGGAGCTTATCCAAATAAATCACTCAACCCTGAGACCAATTATCTCATGTTAGGAGAGCAAGAAGCGAAGAAGGCAGTGACTCTGGTGTTTTAGGCAGACAGCTGGAGCCCGCAAGCTAGCATCACCTCTCTCTGTGGTGGAACTGCTGTAGTCCGGGCAGATGCGCGTGGCCAACTGCCGTTTCATTCAAGAGGAATACTGATGAAAGGGGGAAACGACTTGAAGGGTTTTCATTTAAATTCCTTTCAGCTTGTTTTGTTTTTGCTTTTAATGGCGTCAATGCAAAACATGCAAAACCCGAAGCGAAGGGCGCTTTACATAGTAAGCTAAAGATGCTTTGATTTTAGAGAGAGAACTCTAATGATCTCATCTGATTCTTCTCTTTGAGCAAGCACTTAAGAGGAGGAAGACATCTGTGGCAGAACCAGAGGGGCAGTGAAAAAGATGTCAGAAGAGCATAGAGAGACCGCACACAATTGAAGAAAAGGAAAAATGTCAAATTCTGAAATTTCAGAGGCTTAATATAAAATCTCGGGCTTATTTGCTTCTAAATTACTTAATTAATCCCTTTTTAATTGGCCAAGTTGTTAGTCTAAACTACAAGTTTGACATAGTCCAGGAAAGTTAGTAGGCACAAACACATTTTAATTTCAAGGGGTTTTGGCACACTGCTCTAACTTTATCTGCATAGTCAGCCTGTACAGTTGTGCCAGTTCCTCCATATTCTAGCCTTCATAATGATTCAGCATGAAAAGGAGCTATTCAGGCAGCGCATGTGCTGAGTGCACTCAATAAAATAGCTATTTAAAAATGTAGACGGTAAATATGTTATTGTGTTTGGCTGCCACACATGAAAAACACTGGCTTGACGTGTCATTCCCCAGCTCCTGCAGCCCACACACTGAATAGTTCTTGGAAAGGGCAGAGAACCCCGAACTTCTCCTCACCTTGTAGTGTAGAATTCTTGTGACTGCTCCAAATACCAGTCCATTTACCATTTTAAAAAGTTAAGTCTTTGAGTTTTCTGATTCTGCAAATCAGTGCTGTCTCAGAAAATGCAGTCTTCTTACTGTAATGATTGCAGCGTATGTTTGTACCCTACCTCCTCCTTAAAACTTGGGCCAATCTGAACGAAACTTTGCTTGAAAATTGTTACACATACATCGATCATTAATATCCAAACAGCACAAAAGTGAGGAAATTTGTGTTTGATTTGTGCTAACAGTGCTACTTTGCAATAAATCTCATACTGTTGGAAAGCCTGTTTATTTCTCCTGAAATAGTCCCACATGTATAAGGAAAATGCATTTGTGGATTGAGGTGAAACTTGACAAAAAAAATCTTTTTGCCAAAGAGCTTATTCTGTTACCAAATATTGTTTGGCGTTTATTGGATTGACTGAAGTCTGTAGAAACAAGTCACTGGCAAATTAAGAACTGATTCATTAACAAACGGGGGCCTCAGCAGATGTAGAGAACCATGGCATTTCTTCCCCATTCTGGTCACCAGCTTGGTCACCCAATACTGTGGGATGGCGTCACATTCTTCAACCAGCATTTGTCACAAGTTAGCTAATGTGGTTGTGTTGGCCAGTCTGGCACGAACAGCACACCAAAGCTGACCCCACAAGAGTTCGATAAGGTTGAGGTCAGGACTGCAGGCAGGCCATTCCCTACTCTCTACTCCAAAATTCTGGAGGTAGTCTCTGCAAAACCTCACTCTGTGGGGTGAGCGTTGTCATCCTGGAGGACAGAGTTCGGTCCCAGTCTGTGGAGATATGGGACTGACACTGGTTGTAGAATCTCCTCTCGATATCTCCCCACATTGTCTCCAGTGATGATAAGCCTTGTTTTTCCAGTGAGGGAGATGGTGCTCCACATCATCACCACGCTACCTTCACCAAAAGCTGTTACGCTATCAGTGCAGCAATCAGCATAGCGTTTTCCACATCTTCTCCATACTTTGACCCAGCGATCCAGCTGCCGTAGGTAGAATCTGGCCTCATAGCCGAACATAACGTCCCTCCACATGCTCAAGTTCCAGTGCAC